GGTGCAGCGTGGGAGCGGGGCCCTGTGCCTGCCCCGCCGCTGCCTACACAGACTCCGACCCTCTCCCGCCGCCCCCTCCCTAGTTTTTCCAGAAGGCAGCAATCAACGTGCGGGATAATGTCGGGGAGGAGGTGGACCCGGAGCAACTCATCCAGGAGACATGTCGGAGCTGCCTGGAGCAGGTGGGCACAAGCGGGAGGCTCCGCTCCCTCGGCAGAGCCAGGCGCCGGGCCGGCCCGGCTGGGACGCACCCTCCGAAATGGCTTTGCCGTTAGCGTGGGGGGGGACACCCGCAGCCCTGGCGTGGCTGCTGCACTGGGCTTCGCTCACTCTGGGGAGAGGGGAGCGGTCGTGGTGCTGCTTTCCCCTGCTGCTGTCGGCCGGAGCTTCTGCAGGGGCCGGCCCCCTGGCACCCGTCCGGCCCCCTGGCACCCGTCCGAGAGCCCTGGCGGCCGTGGGGTGAGGTGTTTCTCTTTCACATCTTGCTTTTGTGCCACCTGTCCGGACTTTATCACAGCCAGGTTGCGGTTTTGCATCCTGCCACCTGTGAAGGCGCTGCGTGGCGGCACTGCGGGAGCAGGGCTGTTACCGGGCTTTGGGGCAGATACACGGAAGTGGGGGGCACTGGCAGGTCCCTCTCCGAACCCAGCATCAGGTAACCTTTCGGTAACCCCTCTTTCTCTCTGTGCAGGCCAAGCTGCTGTTCTCCGATGGCAAAAAGGTTGTTCCCAGGTTGCCCCATGAGCAGGCAGTGCCAAAGGTGAGAGTTGTTGTTGCTCCCAGAGGCTTGAGTGACTTGTGGGAGCTGGGAGGAGGAGGAGAAGGGCTGGAACTGGTTTGTGCTCTGTCTCTTGTCCGTCAGCGTGCTGGCGAGGAGGCAGAGCGGGGGGTGTTGGGCTGGGAGGGAGGGGTACCTACAGGGCAACAAAAGTGTCAGGGGCGTGCGGGTGCAGTTCAGTGCTTCTCGTTGAGGTGGGCTGGGGTCGGCGTTTCCCTGGGTGATCGGGCTCGAGCGTGGCAGAGGAGAGAGCGGCCAGCTGGCCGCGTGGGGCCGTGGCCGCCTGGCAGGGGGCCTTCCTGGCAGGGAGCAGGGCCCTGCTCACCCCACTGCCGTTCCCCTTCCAGCGCGCCCGACAGGTGGATGAGGAGCTGAATCGCCGAGGGAGCCCCGTTCCCAAAAAGGTGGGAGGGGTTTCTGCACAAGGGATTTTCTGTTTCAGGAAGCCTGTTCTTCATTCCTGGCCATTCCCGCAGTATGAGGGTGCGGGCACCTGGACAGCTCGGAGGTGCTCGTGCTCGTGCCAGCACTTCTGCTCATGCCAAAGAGAGCAGCTTCCCTGGGAAGGGGCGGGTACCCGAGAGGGTGCTCTCAGCCTGCACAGCTGAGTCACCAAAGGGTTTCTTCCGTGCAGAGAAAGGGGCGACCTCCAGGACAGAGCCTGTCGAACGATCGCGCGGTCTCAGGCCTGGCTGCGTGAGTATGGGTCCTGGGCTGGAGCCCCGGGTTCAGGAGGGCGGGGGGGAAATGAGGCTGCCCGAATGCAGGAGGACAGAACCCCTGCGGTCCCCTTCCCCTCCTGCAAAAAGCAGAGGTGCAGAGGAGTGCCAGAGGGCAGGTAGGAGGGGTTTAGGTTGAAGTGTTCCCCCATCAGGCCAACACCTTCAAGGAAGGGATTTTAAACAGACCCGAAGGGGTGAAAAGGTCCAGAGGGACGGTTCGGAGTGAGCAGCGTGAGACGCGGGCGGTGGTGGGACCTGGCAGCCAGGGAGAGGAGAGCGTGTGGCAAAGATAAGGGTCTGGAGCTGGGCACCGCAGGGGGGTGGAGGGTGTGAACGAAGGCGGATCTGGAAGGGCTGGAGCTCGATCCCTGCGCTGGTCCCGCAGGGACTTGGTTCTCACTGCGTTTTCCTTCCCCTCAGGTGGAAGCTCAAAGTCTCTGAGCCCGTGAGAAGGGATGGACCAAAGGTATTGGCTGGCCGACACCGCTGGGCTCACCCTCTCCTCCCCTTTCCTTCTGCCAGCAGAGCCCTACTGCTGCGGGAGCGGAGGACAGCACCGAGCTGTGCTCTGCCCCGACGGGCCCCTGCAGCACAGGAGAGAAGCAGCAAGAGGAGCGAAGTGCCTGGAGGCCTTTGCTTGTCTCCCCCAGGCACTGTAGCCTGTACCTCTGCGGTGTGGGGCCGCTCTTAGGAGGCCTGGGGAGAGCAGTAGTAGCCAGGAGGATCCCACAAGCATTTGCCACGAGGGAAACCGCTTAGGTCGGCCCAGAGGGAACGTGACTTCCCTCCTCTGCAAAGTCCGGAGGGCTGTGGCCGCCTCCATCCCTGCCAGGCCGGAGCGGTTCCAAGGTTCCCCGTCAGAGAGCCGAGGCTCGTGGAGCACGGGCCGGCACCAGCTTCATTTCTAATGTTGCCCCTTTTCCAATTGCTCTGTAGTGGGATCCATCCCGACTGACTGAAACCACAACCTTTGTGCTGGGATCTCGAGCCAACAAGTAAGGACTGGCCCTGGCGATGGAGGGTGGTGTCTCCAAGGCAGGCGCCCGTCAGACTCCTCCCGTCACTTCGCTTCTCTGCCTCGAAAGCAGTAGGAAGGGCTTGGGGAGGAGAGGAGGTGCCCCCATACCACCGCGGCCGCCCCCCCGCGCAGCTGTAACACCCCCTCGTGTTCCTCTTTCAGAGCTCTCGGGATGGGAGGAACAAGAGGGCGACTCTACATCAAGCATCCCCACCTCTTTAAGGTCAGGTGCGGCGGCAGGACGCTCCCTCCCTCGGGCTTTGCTCGGGAGCGGTTTCCGTGTGCCTCGGCCGGCTCGTGCTCTGCCTCCCCGCGCCCTCGCTCGTGGCCACCCGTGCCGGAGCGTGAGCTGACGGCTTAGCGCAGCCCCCCGGGCGGGTGCTTGCCCGGAGCCAGGC